CCCCGAGAGGTGGTGGATGCCCCATCCCTGGAAATATTCAAGGTCAGGTTGGACGTGGCTCTGAGCAACCTGATCTAGTTGAAGATGTCCCTGCTTATTGCAGGGGGGTTGGACTAGGTGACCTTTAGAGGTCCCTTCCAACCTAAACTATTCTATGATTCTATGATTTGGGAATTTCATTTTAAGAAAAAAAAAAAGGGAATTTCATTTTAAGAAAAAAAAAAAAAAACACAACACAACAAACTGTGGGAACATAAAATTGCCATGTCACACTGATTTTTCTAGTCCGTTGACAGTTTCTGGTAATGGCCAGTGCTGGAAACCCTGAAGGTGATAATCATGGAACAACCTGATTACGTTGCCCATGCATTAGCAAAACTTCGCATTTCCTTGGAAACATTAACTTCCTTTCCCCAATAAACCAGTGAAAACAAATCCAGAGCCTTTTTTTTTTTACCTGTCCTATGAGAAAGGAGAGGGAGAGGTATTAAACAATCCTAAGTGTATGTTGTTATTCATGTTGTTGTTATTGTTTCCTTTTTAACAAAGGAGCAAGGCCTTTGCTCTTGAGGTTTCACAGTGGTGTTCACGGATTGGCTGTATGTATAAAATGGTGTAGGAATATTTCTTTTATTGGGTTGAAAATGGCTGCCTCTTCATCAACACGTGAATGACCGCCTCTTTGAACTGGGGCTCTTTAATGGGTCAACAAAGACAAATGTACCTCTCTGCTATGTGGTGTCCAACTCAGATTGATTGAACGTTTCACTTTTCCTAGTCAACCGTCACTTATTACTGTAGTCTTTGTGAAAAAGACACTGTCGGTTTTTCAGGGTGACTTAGGCAGACAGAATGGATGCAGGTTATTTTTTTGTATTAAAGTGGTGTTGACATACGTACACATCAGTACTTGAGCAGAAACTGGGAACTTGATGTATCCTCATCTGGGGCCCCTGCAGAACACTGGGGTTTCCTGGGAGAAGGATAATGAGGACATTGGCGGTGAAGTGTAAGAAATGTGCTCCTAAGACTGGACTGGATAGTTTCTGAAGGGTCAGTGGATCTCATCTTTTTGTAGTCTTAAGAAGACTCTTCTGCATCAGGCTTTCTAAATGTTAAATATAACTGTGAGTTATCCTGACATCTGGCTCACAGGAATTAATTTCATTTATACTTGCCTCAGTTCTGTCAATATTCAGGTGTTTGGGGGATGTGTATATATGGGGTGGTAGAGGGGGACTCATGAAAGAACAGACAAAACATGTTCCCATGTTGACTGCCTCTTCAGAATGAGAGCAAAGTGAGGGAATGGAAGAAGGTCACTCCAGCACTTTCTTAGCAAAGTGAGGAAGAGGATAGTTAGAAAAGTGATACAATGCAATGGCTCCACATTACTTTCGTACAGTTCTTTGTGCTCTATGACTAATGCTTTCATAGCTTATCCTTGCATGCCTGAATGCAGGTTTATTGATTCCTTGGTGAGAAGGTAGTTGATAGCGAGTTGTGCTACGCTGTATTCTTCCTGCAAGGGATAAATACAGTAAATCTGACTGTGACTGCAATTGTGAGATCAAACCAGAATAAAGCAGCAAGCAATTTTAGTAGCGGACTCTTTAAATTCTTCCGTTTTTTATTTAAGTGCAGTGATATCTTCCGCCCCCCCCCCGCCCCGTTTACTGGGAAATCTGGGTTAAAACGAGTGTTTGTTGTTGGTAATAGTAAATCTCTAGAGCAGCTAAAAGTTTTTATGTTTGGCTGTAACCCAGCACTTTGCAAAGAAAAGATCTTGTTACAAATGCTTTGGTTGGTGTTGTTTGTAATTTTAATGGTAACACAGGTCCTTTTCAATTAAAACATTGTTTTCTGTTTTGGTCCTTCCAGGCAGTGCTGATGGGTAACATCACAGTGAATGAACAATTGGTCCAGAGTCTACGAGGTGTGTCATAATACCCCTCTGCATCTCTCTCATATTGGTTTTTAAGCCCTCTGTTTTTAAGACTTGCATTTTTCTGGTGTCTTCTGAGAATGCTGCCTTCCTTCAAGTCATGGAGACGGTGCAGGAGCTGTGGTGACTTAGATCCTACATCTGCATAGTTCAGTGAAGTGTCAGACTAATCTGCCTCAACGGTAGAAGGGTTTGTCCATGTAGTGCTTGATGTAGGACCCTTATGATATAAAACAATACAGAACAAAACTAGCTTCTGCGTGCATTGTTAATATATTTATTCTTCATTCTACCTTTTGCAGTGTATTCCTGCATTCCTACCTGAGGTGTTTGGGTCGTGCATTTTAGCAGCAGGGGAGTTCACAAGCTCTTATATTAAATAAGAAAACTTGGTCTAATCTTTTCTATTTGTGTTGGTGCTTCAAAATTGTTGTTAGCAATTTATTCCTCAGGAAGTCTGGGGAACGGATCCTAAGTTCTATAAATAGGTAAATACATTGTGGTGCCTTCTTTTGGTGCCCTCACACAGAGCTTTCTATCAGGAAGAAAACGCTAAATCATAGATGCCTCTGTTTTTGAGGAACATAACTGTAAATTGCATATTATTCAGGGAAGGATTGTAAGCTTGTCTTTAGATGGCTAGTAAACATGAATGCCATTTCATACTGTGTTCTGATTAGTATTTCATAGATCTAAAGATTTCCTGGGCTGAAACCTAGCAGAACAAGGGTTTGCAAATGAGTTAGAGTATGCCTTATGAAGAAAAGGAAGTAAAAAAAAATCTATGTTACACTGTTTTTGTTAATATGTTAGACTGAAAGGCTACTCTTACCCAATCCTGTGCATCTTTGATGAATAAATTCAACAATTATCTATGCATTTGTACACAAAATGTAGTGAGCGTGACAGATGGGTGGAGTTAGTGTGCTTACTACCGATCTGTTGTTTGACACTTCTGTTGTAATATATGTAGGTATATATGTGTGTGTATTTTAATACATATTTTAATCCTGTTTTGATCAGAACGCTTGAAAGAGTTACAGACAGACTATAGAAAGCTACAGATGGATGTTTACTGGTTTCGGAAGAACCAGACTAACCTTCAGAAGAAGTTCTCATATGACCTGTAAGTATGTTCTTTCTAAAAGATGGCTTCCAGAGTTGTAGGTGACTTGGTTATAACCCAGAGTATTCTTGTGATACCTATAGCACTGTTAGTAAATGTACAGTTTTAAGGAGAAAGTAACACCTGACACATCTTCTAAAATTGCTCGGAGTTGATCTTGGAGAAGGGCGTAGACCTTGCAACACTTGGTATCTCAGTATCCACAGACTTCTCCCACACTTCTTGATGTTCCTTCCATTGCAGGAGGAGAAAGGTAGCAGTATTCTCATTTAAGAGTTGGGAGGAAAATTGATACATAAAGAGGCTAAACTCTGAGGAAGTTTAAGAACTAAGATACAGGAATACCTGATGGGAAGCTGTACCTCATTGACCTGCCAGAGGTCTCAGAAAATCTGTGGTACAGTTATGGGCAGAACCATGTGTTCTCATTACAGTTCATACCTAGTCATGTTTTTTGTTGAGATTTCCCACTGAATTATAAGGCATGGATAACTGAACACAAGTACTTATCAGTATCCTTACACTAAATAAACATTTCTGGTATTTCTAGGAATTTCTCCTGGGTTTTTTCTGTGCAATAATATTCTTGTTCCCTCTACCTGTCTTCACATCCTCTTGTATCTTCCCTCTGGTGCGTAGATATAGAAAACCAACAGAATTTGCTGTTTGCATGGTCTCGTAATGATTTTCCATCAAGAATATAATTGCTCTAGTGATACATATTTTTCCAGCAGCCACTGTTCAGCCAGATTCCGTAGGAATTATGACTAAAAGCTCAATATGGCAATCAAACTTGAAATACCTTTTTTCTTTTTTTTTTTTTTTTCCCTCTGCTTAAGAATTAAGGATTAGTATTACTGCTTTTGTACTCTTGTTTCAGGGCATTATTACTTATTTAATAATGATGAACCAGATGGATTGTATTAGTGGAGTTCCAATAATTTAGGACTTCTAACAGAAAAGTAGAAGGAAGTTGGAGACTTAAGTTTGTACTAACCTTTTATTAAGCCACCTTGCACTTATGTGTCAGTTATGGTACTTTTTCCCTTCAAGTTTGTTGTGTACTGCAGTTGTTAAGCACCATCTTTTTGCTGTTTAGTTAAATGACAGAGCTGGAACTGCTGGACCTCTGTTGATAGTTCTTTGCTAGTTAGAGTATCTGTTTGCCAGCATCTTCCTTGTAAGGCTGAGATCAGCAAGGGTAAATGGATCTGTAGGCATATATATGTGCTGTACAGTCATGCTCTACGTGAGAGGTACATCCTTGAAGCACTGGATTGATATACATGTGCAGGGAAGTGATACAAGGCAAATGTAGTGAGTCTGGTTTCTGAAAACTCAGGTTTATTGCCCATGTCAGGTGAAATGTTTTCAAGTACAGCTCCATTGAGGAAATCACCGACAGAGCATCCCTGCTCGTGGGAGTGTACCGTAAAGAATCCCTCTTTGTTTAACACAAGAAGGTTGGATCCGGAGGGTACAGCTCCAGGCTCAAGGCTGGCTCAAGGTGGAGAGCTAAACAAGTTACAGTGGTGAAGATGGGTTTGCTTGCGTCAGGGTAGATGTAGAGACAGGCATAATAATTCAGCTGTGTGCTAGCTGAACAGGGACTTGGCTAGCTGGTCTGCCTCCAGTTGGTCCTGAGGCAGGTGCTCTACTTCCTGTAGTCTCTCCATTGGAGCCCATAAAAGCACTTACCTCATTTAAGGAGCTATGCTTTCTTCACTAGCTTTGCTCAATAACACTTAAGTGCTCATTTTCTATTTCTGGATTTTTTTGTAGCTATGATTGCACTCAGATTTTCATGGAATGCTTTATAGCTTGGGCACCCTGTAGCATTCACACAATTCTAGCAGGAACATATATAAATGTATGTTTTAAGTGTTGCTTGTTTTGTACCTTTAGGGGGGATGTTGGAACGTTAAAATTTCATTGTTGTAGTAAGTTACATTACTAACTTTGCATTGCGTTTTGGTAGTTGTAGAAACATACATCTGATTGTACTTGGTTGCATACAGTCCTCTTTGCTATTACTAAATACTTATGTAATACTGTCATTTTAAATGCTTACAACCAACCTTTTTCCAATGTGATTATGGGCCTAGAAAAACAAGTATTATTAGAAAGACTCAAAATGTTACTTTTAATCTGTCTTCCCTCCTCCCCTCAGTATTAGGAGTAAACCAACATGTTGCCTCTCTGTTCATCTTTAGTAGGCCTTGGCAGGAGGGGGTGTTAGACCTGCTTTTGTGCTATGCCAGTGTTTCTTCCTTTGACTTGGAGTTGGGTGGATGAAGGTTTCGCACCTTATGTATCAAGTACACTTTGCGCAGTGGAAAAATGAAGAGAGAGTATTATTGTATAATTGAAAATGTTATAAAAAGATGACAGAATTCAAATGCCTTTTTTTAAATGGACACATTGTAAGTCACTCTTTTTAAACAATCGGATATTGCACTGTAGAAGACAGTGATAAAATCGGTTGTGTGTGTGGAATGCGTAAGAACAAAATTTGTTAACTTAGAAGGCACAAAAATCATTGGTTTTTCTCATGCCCAAGTCTTGAAGTTTCATCTTACCTTTTTTTTTATTTTGAGCAAGCTTAGTGTTTTCCATACAGAAGTCAGCAGGAGTTATGTGAGCTTACTGGTATTGTGTGCAAAAGGAGTGCACATCCCTCAGCAATCAACTTACCGAGATACCCTTGGTGCACACTGTGCCCAGTGCTGTTTGCTTGCAGTAGAGCCTGTTCAGCAAAGGCTGACTGGCAGCACTGACCCTTCTCCCCTGCAGCAACCAGAGAGAAACAGAAGCCTCTGGACTGATCTTTTGAAGGTATTTCAATATTCAGATGCATTTTGATTCCTAGGAGCTTTGTTTGTTACGTAGCTGCTTCTTTGGAAATTTTGCTACCTGTAAAAAGTCTGATAATTAGTTTGGTATTTGCAACCCTGACAAGTGTAAGAGTGTGAGTGCACGAGTAATCTCTTTTGGCAGGGATGAAAGGAGCTGATGATACATGCTCCTGGAGGACAAAGGTGCTCTGTTTCTCATGGTGGGGCCGGAGGCAGCAAATCCAGCAGCCTGGGAGGGGAGAGGCTGCACATGCGTTCCCATGCACACAGAGCATGCCTGTACGTGGCCAGGTACACAGGTTAACATGGACACACGAAGCACTCACACGGGCATGAACACCACCAGTAGCCTCATCCTGCTCCCCTGAGGGTGGAGGTTCGCTAGTGCAAAACGTGCTTGTGTACATACGTACTGACTGGCACCAGTCCCTGCATCACCCACGCACAGCCCTCCCACCCCAGGTTGACTCCAGCTGCTGCCTCACGCCCCTGTGCACACACATACACAGGCTGAACAGAGAGTCCCTCACCCAGGAGAGAGTTAAAAAGGCATTTAATAAGAAATGGGACAGGCTGCTGATCAAGTGTAGGGCAAAGCCAGACAAGCACATGGACCAGAAACGTGTTTACATGTGACCGATTTTGTTTATCCCCTTATGTCTCTCTTTTCTCATGCTTGTTCCTACCGGAGATCCATCCCTTTCCCTGCCTTTGGTCCCATAATAAGGTTTGTGCAATCCTGACATGCTCTACCCCTGCATCCCATAATGTGTCCCCCACCCTGGGCAGGAAACACCTTGGTTCTGTTGACTCATCTTGATGGATTTCACGCCTGGACACGAGGGCTGAGGCTCACCTGAGATAGCCCTGGGGCTGTGGGGTGGTCTGGACGGGTGTCCCTTCTTCTGGGTCCATAATTGAGGCTCCTGCTGCCCTTGTGCCTCTGTGCTCCTTTGTGCTCATGGAGGTAGGCCTTGGATGGGCTGATGGCTCCTGTGATGGGCCTGGGAGCAGCTGGGGAAGGTATTACTTGGGCTCCTTTGTGTGTGCACTGGTGAGCTCTTTATCACAGAAACTAACTCTCTCTAATCTTGTGAAAGAGAAAACACGCTACAGAGACTGAATTTAAGAGCACTGGTTTTGCACATTTGAAGTATGTCATGTCGATAGAGTGAGGTGGAGAAACCAGTGCTGTTCTTGTGCTTCAGAAGTTGTTGTATCCATAAGTAGAGTATTCAAATCTCCAGAAATTCCTTTTACAAGAAGGGATTCCTTTGCAGATAATTAAAAATTACGAGGATTTTTCACAGATGTTAAATGAACTTTATTTTCATGTGCAGTGTGGTATGAAAGAGCATTTATGCAAGGTTGCTCTATCTCTAACTTCAGGTTGTCTGTATACTGCATCTTTCTCAAGCTTGCAAACTGAGGTGCAGGCAATTCTGATGTCCTTTTATTTCCTAGAAATTAGTGAATGTGTGCGTAACTCAAGCCTACGTTGTTTTATTGTCTCTGATGTTCACCGACTTATGAAGCACTACCTATTTTGATGACTCTTCCATGTATAAGCATTAGCAAAATCAGACTTTAGGACAATGCCTAGTCAAGAAGAAACAGTAATAAAGGTAATTAATTTGTCAGTTCATAAAGGTAATTATTAAATTTGCCAGTTCATAGCATATCTGTCTACCACTCCTCTTCCTTTCTGGGTATGAACTATAGAACAGATTTTTTGCTTTTAAAAGGGTGTGTGTGTGGAGAAGGATAAAAGCACAATAAAAACGAGTGACTTGCTGTTGTAGCACGTGCCCTGAGAATTCCTCTGGATTAGGTAGTGGCCTATTTGCAACTTGAGGAACTGGAACAGGCCTGTCTGAACCAGCTGCTGTTACACCGGGGGTATTGACAGTCTGCCAGAGCCAGGCCCAGAAATTCATCCCCCTTCTGTCTTAGTGAGGAGGAGGTAAAATGTGCAGTATGTTGACCATGATGTTGTCCACAGAGAGGTTTTACATGCAGAAAGATGCGTTTGCAGGGTCTGTAGCTGATGGTATACATTGAACTCAAAGTTACCTTAAGAGGAAAAAACTAAAGGGGGGAGAGAGAGAAAGTTACCTTAGAGTGGAAAAAAACGAAGGGGAGAGAGAGAAAGGAAAAAAGGGTTTAAAAAACCCCAACAAACTCCTCTGCTGCTGGGGCCAGCAGGGAAGAGAAGCAGAGTGGTCCCCAGCCAAGCCTCTTCTTTGGCCATGCTCTCCAATGCAGTGGGTGCTGCTGCTGCTGATTGTTCACATTTTCCTCTGGCATGATGCACTTCTCATCAGGATCCACTCAAACCCACTCTTGCTTGTTCCTGTTCACGGTGGGATCAAATCATACTTGGGGTTGTATGATGACTGGTTTCTAAGCCTTCTGCATGTGCGTTATGGGGTAATGCTTATCTGCCTTGTTACTCGCTAGGTCTTGTTCTTCCACTAATATAAACCAAAAGTTACAAAACGGGTTATGAAGAGAGTGGGGGAGAAAGGGTGATCTTGCTCTGCTGGCAGTCACTTCGCATGAGAAACCCAGTTTGACAACACTCCTGGGGCTTGCACAGGATCCTCAGCGCAGCCACAAAAGGGGAAAACACTGCCCTGGCGGCTTCAGGAAAAACACTGCTGCAACAGCCTGGGGCTTATCTAGAGCTTACGGAGCTGTGAGGGAAAGGCAGGCTACAGAACTGCAAGCAGAAGACCCCTGGTGTCACGACGGTTAAGGCACTAATGGCACTGTGTAACTATTAAAAGTATATAAAAGATACACAACGCTTGCATCTTTAGGAAATATTCCTTTTGGAACTTAAAATAGCTACTGATGAACTCCATTTCTGTAACATATGTTTTGTTATGTCTTGCAGCACTGCACTTTGGTCAAATACTAAGAAAGGGTGTTCAGTTCGCTAGCAGTAGCTTACACCTGTATTTTATTTCAATTAGTACCTTGCTGTTTCCTCTTCCTAGCTAAAATCCAAATACGCATTTCTGTTATCATACTAGAAGTGCTTCAGGGATCAAAGTTGATTGTGATGTAACTGAAACTGACTGGTTAGCGAAAGACAAGAAAATGCATGTAGCTTGTAGAGCTGGTCTAACAAAAGCAGTTTAAATTAATTTCTTCTAGTAGAACTTGGACGGCTTGCACCATGAGTTTGTGCTTAGGACTTAGGTGAACACCCCATTTTTTCCTACTGACTTCTCAAATGTAAGCACAGATAATGGAACTAAGATAATAATAAAATGGAAAAAAAAAAAGGAATAAATCATTTTACAAAAGAACATTTTAGAAGAGTGTGGATGAAAGTTAACAACTGCTCACTTGTTCATATTTTCTCCAGGTCACAGTGCATCAACCAGATGAAAGAATTAAAAGAACAATGTGAAGAAAGGATAGATGAACTTACAAAAAAGGGTAGTGATGTACCACAAATCAAAGAAAACAAAGACTTCTCAGAAGATTCAAAAAAAAATAGCCAGGTATGGTTTGGGTCAATTCTTAAGAATCTTTTTCTTTGTAATTTTTAAGGGGTTTTTCACCTTTCTACTATCTCTAACGAACATTAGTCCAGCTCATTAAGTTTTGCACTGCTTTCCTTCACATTTGTTGAATGTTTCTGATCTATGGGAAATGGAGTGATTCCAAGGACAGAACAAGGCAGAGGTCCTGCAGGAGACTCCAATCACTGTGTTTCTGAGACTCTTTTCTTCCTGGGGTACAGAGGGCAGGAGGAAATCCTGAGAAAAGGACATTTCAGATCATCCTATTGTCTTGGCATGTGAATTATTGATGCTTCTTCAGTGAAGCAGGATTTGGTCAGGGATAGGACTTGGTTGGTTAAGCTTGATACAGATGGCCCTGGAAACATGCAATGAAGCTCCTGGGCGAGAAGGCAACTAATTTATTTCTGTGTACTGAAGTAGCCTTTTCTTCAGGCCTGTGAGCACCAGTTACAGAAGTTACATTTTTCACATGTGATTGCAATGGGGCCTTTCCCCCATACCTGGGTGGCCAACTCTCATTGCAAAGGCAGTGCGGGCTTGGTGGTATGTGCCCTTTTCTCTTTGGCTAGGAAAAGGCTACTAGAAGAAACAATTTGAAGACTTCAGAAGTGGAAAGGGTAAAGCAATGAGGGTTGAAGCTGGATTTTGCAAAAAGCTGGAAATGGGTGGGAGAAAATGGCTGAAACATCTGCCCAGAGACCCCTAGGTGTTCAGGTAATGGTTCCAGTCTGTGTCCAGTCCTTTATGTAAAATGGAGGAAGAGAGAACTGCCGAAGTTTGTGACCTTTTATCCTGGGAACCTGCATTGTATGAGACCTGCAAGGCAAATGAAGCATTAGAGACAGGAAATGCTAGCCAGTTATCCCTTTCAAAAAAAAAAAGTGAAAGCTCTTGTTTGTCAATATTTTTTATCAACAGTGTCAAAGTAGTAAATAAAAAGTAACACTAGTAATAGTAAGAGAGAGAACTGCCGAAGTTTGTGACCTTTTATCCTGGGAACCTGCATTGTATGAGACCTGCAAGGCAAATGAAGCATTAGAGACAGGAAATGCTAGCCAGTTATCCCTTTCAAAAAAAAAAAGTGAAAGCTCTTGTTTGTCAATATTTTTTATCAACAGTGTCAAAGTAGTAAATAAAAAGTAACACTAGTAATAGTAAATATATAGTAGTAAGTAAAAAGCCCATCATCTGGAGATGATACATTTGTCGGTCAAACAAATATATCTTGTTTAATGTCAAGATGTAAAATACTATTTGGAAAGTTGATGTGGGGAAGACTGTACTAGAGAGGTGCTCAATTCAATTTCTAGCGTTGCTTTGCAGCAGATTTTCATTTACATTACTTGTACCAGATGCTTTTGTTTGTTTGTTTGTTGTGGGGTTTGGTTGTGTTTTTTTTTTTCCCCATTTCCAGTTTGGAAGGGAAATCGTCCCAGAAGGAGCCCGAGGAGTTTGGCTGAAGCCCCTCTGCAGGACACTTTCAGTCTCCTGCAACAAGTCCCATAGCTCGAGGCAATCTTAACTCAAAGTAGGCAGCAGGTTAGGCAGGGCAGGTTATCTGTTCTCCTTTTAATCTATAGATGGGATGATCCCAGATGAGATAACCACTAATACAGCTACAGCCTAAATAAATTTTGTCTGCTTGTGTTCCCTAGTATCTGTGACAGTGTTTCTTACGTCAAGCTGTAACCTTCTCAGTTGTTTGTTTGCCCAAGGAGTGCAACTCTTTGTTTGTACAGAAGCTAAGTTATTTATCATTAGTGCAAGGTGACCCTGAGGAAATCTATGAACGTCTTTAGCCAGCATTTTTAGCTGGAATAATTCCTGTTTGTAAGATGTACATGCTTTTGTAATGGAAAGGTCAGAGTTAAAGTAAACTAGAGAAAGAAAATGGGAGTGTTGGTTGCTTAATAAATATACAGTTTTTCTTACAGCTCTCTATTTTAAGGAATGATGTATACTTCTCGGTCGAGGAATATACAACATGTTCCAATTATTATCTTTTTATCTAACCATCTCAACTTAAAAAATTTTCAGTGTACGTCCTTTTTAATTTATTTGACACCATCATTAAAAATTACTGAGCTAGAAATTTATGATAAGTTAAGGGCTTTTGCATGTTTAATTAAGAGGTAATTTCTTGCTATTAAGTGCAGGCTCAGTAATTTTACAGAACAATTCATGCCCAGCATAAAGTGAAAAATGGTCTTACGTTCAGCTTCGGATTATTTCTACTGTAGAGAGTGACCTCAAGAGGCTGAATTATTTATAAAACAGAAGCATTTTTAAATACAGCATTTTTGTTTTATTGACTGAAGGAAGATGGAGTTCTGAATATCCTTAGTGCAATAACCAAATATTCTGTGGTCTTGCTTCTCAAGCTTTCATAAGAGTTAATGTTAGATTATTTGTTGTTGATGTTAGACTTCATGGTATTGACCCAACAAGGTCCGTAGTTCTGCCTGGTTTTGACTGAGCTTAAAACATTTTCACAACAGCCAAGTAATCATATCCTACAAATCCTCTACAGCTTTGGCTTCTCGGTTATTTAACCACTTCTTTCTTTAACCACTTTTTTCTGAATGACTGTGTGAACACTTGACAACCTAGTGTTTTATTGACCTGCTGAGAACAACGGGTAGCTAGTCTTATCAACAATCGTAACAGAAAACTTTCTGTTGACTGTATGACTTTCTATACCATAAGGTTTCCTATTCATTTGTATAGTACCAGGTATAAAAAGGTTTATGTCTCTAAATGTCTGTATGCTTGTTCTTTCTCTGCGTCTTCTGATTTTTATAAACAAAGCAAAAACCCAACAAAAAAAAAATCCCCATAGAACAAACGGTTTCATTACAGTCTGTTTTTTTGCACCAAAGCTGGTACAGCAGAGCACGAGCTCCAGGCACATTTCATGTTCAGTGTTTGTGTGAACTGAATTGACATCATAGCTCTCAGCCAGTTAAATGCTAATACGAGTAAAAGTTGTACATAGAATTTTTATTGCTAAATTGGAAGATCTTCAAGGTGGTGTACATCTTAGCCATTAATCTTTAAGCATGTCAGATGGGTCAGATGCTGAGAGCAGTCTAGTACCAGTATTTAATACATTCTTAAATAAGCTCCATCACGCTAAACAGATACTGCTGTCTAGTTGGTTGATACACGTTTTTCTTCTCTTAATCCTGCATTCAACATAGTTTTAGACCAGCTCTGTACAGGCTTGCTTAATTGAAGTCTTATTATGCCCAAACTCAGTTTACCTGTCCCTGTTGATTACTAACGGTAGTTAATGCCATCTGTTTTTTCGCTCTGCTGACCCTGACACGGTAGCAGAGCAACAGTGGAGAAATGTGTGGTGTTACAGTTCTGTGACCCTCAGAGAACAACAGGTGTTTCTTGTGAAACACTAACCAAGAACAGTAACCTCACGGTTAGTTGCAATTAGATTAAAGAAGGTGTGTTAAATTCTCCCGATGTGTTGTGCTGTTATATAGAAACATCACTGCATATTCAAGATTGTACGGTACTTCCATCACTGATAAAAATTTCAGTCCAAATATGTCCGACTGTTTTAGGATTTTTTCCCCTACTGAATTCTTACCTAACTTCCACTTCCCTTTCCAAATCCAGGAGTAGTTACGCAGACCAATGTTTATCTGTGTACATTCACTTTATAGATTAATATTCAACTGCCAGCCTTGAAGCAAACCGAGTTCAAGCAGGCTGACTTGGAACAGCAGAAACACAATGAAGATGTACCTAAAGCAGTACCTACAGTAAAAAAGATAGACTTGCTGCAGGCTAAAGGTGAGCTGGAAATCACTATCTTACTAGCGACAGGTTAAGAACATTTGTAATTTAATTGAACATTTAAAAAACATTTTTGTACACAAGATTAAGATGGAAAAAGTGACACCAGTAGACTGAACTACAATCAATTTTCCAGCTGTGGAGAGGTGTAATATCTATTCAAGCACTTTTATTACTAGCATTTCTACTGGTTCAGTTTTGTTGTAATTGACATGTTGCATGTAAATGAAAATACAAGTATGTATGATTCTGGAGTCCTATTCCTCATTTAATATCGAGGAAAATATCCTGCTTTTGGAAGCAAGGATTTTCAAGCATGTTTAAAATTTGCTTTTTTAGTAAGTTTGACACATCTAGCCTGCTACACCATCCTACGGAATAGCTGAAAGTTAGGCTTTAAACAAACACACATCCATGCTTCCCATGTGTTGTCACTAAGCAAAATGCAAGTAAGGGAAATGATACACAGGGGATCAGATTAGTTAACCTAATGGTTGCTTTTGGCACTGAACTCTGAAACTGTTAATGTGAATGGATGTAGCCTAGTGTGTCAGTCTCGCATAGCACTGTGTGTGACTGATAGAAATTCAATTTCCTATTTAATTATTCTTACATGCTATCTTAAATTACAATCTTAGGAGTATGCAACTCTTATTTTAGAGAGCTAGCGATTGAAGACAACATCTATATGTAGTTTATTCGGGCAAATTTTATTGTGATTTTTGTAGTTAAAAATGCAGATACACAGGGGAAAAAAAGATATGGTAATGTCTGCCAAAAGTAATAGCCCTCCTGCACTTCCTCTTCATATTTAAAAATAAGAACAGCCTTGATTTACTTGCAAATCTGCCCATGTGACTGCTTTGTCCTGAGCTACTTTTGAACATCAAATCAGTTTTATTGTTAGTAATGAACTGTAACACAAAGAAACCTGATGCTTGCATAGCACACTACAATTTTTATTTAAACTGCTCTGTTTCACCTGCCCAATTTATTAACTGCACATACCAAAATTTTAAGTAGGTAGAAGCATGACTCTGTTGCAGTAAACAATGCCACAGTAGACTCTACAAGTCTCATCCTTTAGCTGTTCCCAGTAGGAAAAACATGGGTGTCATCTTTGTCTCTCTCTTTGGAACTGATGCGGTTGAAAGATATTCTTTCAGAGGAAAATCAAAAATGGAATGAGAAAGATAAAGCAGTATTTATTAAAGGTTTTTAACTTGTGCCGCCACTGAAAGGCATTAGGTTTCTTACTCAGAGTAATTTTTATTGTTTACAGAAAGAATAAACAGCCTAGCTGACATCAGAAAACAGGAGCCTAAGGCAGAAGAGAAGCTTTCTAGTGAACTGAAAGCCCCACAGGATTCACTCAAGGCTGCTGCAGGTCATGAGGAGATGCTGCCCAAGTCAGAGAAGGAGCTGAATCCATCTGAAGATGAAAAACGTGTAGCGGGGCAAGATGTGTTACAGCCGGCAGCAGAGCAGGCTGCCAGTGAGGAAATTGAGAGGGAGCAACTCCTGAATTACGATGCTAAGCAGGATGACTTGCCCCCTGGAAAGGCTGGTTGGTAGCATGTCATGTATTGTTAAGAACCGTAAAGAAATGAAAGTGTGGAATAGGGCGTGATTTCTGGAACAGTGGTGGTAGCTGGCCAGACTTAGTATAAGGTTTCATAAAGGTTAGTGCGAGATGTAAAGGTTAGTCAGTCCCTAGCAGTCATCTACAGGCAGTGGGTAAAGATGGAGGCTTCTGTTTGTGCAACACGGAGCTACCAGGCTGGGTTCTTCTGCATCACCATAGCAGCCTTAGTGTCTCTCTCTCCATCGGCTGCACAAGGCATTTGGGGAAATTAGCCCCGAAAATTTTTGGCGTTGAGGCTTTATAAGAGTATGATGCATTTGAAAAGGATGAGACGTTAACCATCCAAAGCATTGATGAGTAGAGAGAGACTACGTATTGACGTTTTGTAGATAGTCTTTTTATAGCGTCACTGTGTAAATGCTAGCTATCCCTATTTCAAAATAAGCTAGCATGAATAAAACTCAACCTAAGACTTCAGGTATCTGAAGTTTATTATTTTGAGTCTGCAAAACTGCAGATCAGATGTTGTAAAGGTGCCAATTTGTGGCATCTACCATATGTGATGCTGAACCATGTGTCTCCACAGCACCGAGCATGAGAGTTTTGACATTGTGTCTAAACCTGACCAGAATCTAGACATGCCTCTGTCTGTCTTGAGGAACTCGGTCTCAGGCGGAACCAGTAGCCCAGACAGAGTAATCAAGAGGAAGCCTTATGGCAGTCAGAGCAGGAATTGATGCCCACAAAAAAAGCTGTTTATGCTTTTCTAGTAAACACATTCATAGAATCATAAGTAATGATGTTAAATTAACACCATTGATAATTTGGCAGGGATAAATAATCTCATCTGCATTGCTAAAGTAGTATTTTTTTCAACTGCCCCAAAAAGATGCTGGCCAGAGCAGGCTGTCCCCCAAAGAGATGCGAATACGTAGCTTACCTAAACTGCTTCCATTTTAACAGAAATAAGTAGCAGACAGATTAGGTAAAAAAATCATCCAACAATTAGTGCAAGAGAAAACTCTGCCATGTAGCCTGTGAAAGGTCAGAGTTTCTGTGAGCTAGAAAGACTAGCAGGATGTTCTTCAGGCTTGATTGTTCAACAAACATACCATACCTTACTGCATAGGTTCCTTGTAGCCAAAGGAACCCAAGGTAGAAAAAGATTTCTTCTACGTTCTCTGAGCATCCTCTCTTTCAATAAAGGTTCTTTCAAAAGTTTGAGAACTTTAGGTCTGTAACTCTAAAAATCTATTTGATGTGGTGGTCTGAACGTGAACAACTTAAGGCTAAAAATTTTCAAGCCTGTTTCTAAGCCAGTTACTAATTAGAGGGCTTGGCTTGAGAACATTCAGAACCAGAGACTCCGGTCTCTCTTAACTGGGGTATGCTTATACCTCTGTGCCATTACAATTTTTTTGGCTGCTTAATTGAAAAATAAGGGTAGTAGTCTGGCAATCAGAAATAGCGTTTCCATTTACTTATGAGCTCTCCACATAAAGAAATCTTGAGATAGTCAATAAAAGTTGCTTGAGATGAATTAATGATTGGGTGAAGAAAAATCTTTTACAGAAAAGCACTTTTGTGTCAAGTTAGCACATCATAAAATACTTTTTTTTTTTCCTTTTTTTTAAAAAAAAAAAATGCTATATTCACAGCTTTCTGCTTGGTGGACAAACTAAAACCAGAAGGGGAGAAGCCAAGATACATTTTAGTGATGGTGGTAATACATTTAAAAGTAACACCACAGTCAAGTTTTCAGCATTGGCTTCAGGTTTTACTCTCCCTTAGGCTGTCCTTTAATGAATTCTGAAGTTGTTTAATGCTTTTCCTTTCTGTCCATCTGAGTGCTGACTGAATTTTATTACACTTTCCAAATCTGAAAATATTCTGTCTTTTATCTAGTTCTTTGGACAAGATTTACAGCAAAAGCTGCTCTGAAATTTAACAGTTCAAAAGGAAAAATAATATGAAAACCTACTCTAAACAGCAATTCATTCAGCAGCAAAGTAAATTCTGTGGAAGATTGTTACAGTAACTGTTTCTTGTGCAGATGACCTTATGGTATAGCATAAAACTAATTAATTTAACATTTTTCCAGACAAACAGGAACACGAAGCACTGAACCAGGACGTTGATTACAATTTAGATGAGAATGAAGCTGAATCAGAAACAGACAAGCAAGCAGCACTTGCAGGGATTGAAAATGGTAAAAAATAAAAAAAAGTTTTAACCTAAAAGTACCACATGCTGAAAATTGTAAGATGATACTTTGAATGGTATCCTGTGGCAGATATAGCTAGCTAATTTCTGTTTGTTCTTTGAGCTTTCCCTCATGTTGGCAGTGTGACCTATTTTCTCTGTAGCATTACTGAAGCTACTGTTTAACACGTGGTGGGGAGGGACAGTATCTGTAGCTTTACTATACTATACAGTACATAACAGTCCTTTCAAAATTTCTCCTGCTGTGCTCTAGATTGTTTTCTAGATGAAGAACTATCACTTCTGCCTCTTAAAGAGACTTCTGTACCTTTTTCTTTTTTCCTTAATTAGTTCGAAACCCTGAAGATACGAAGAACCACTTATCTGAGCAAGGTGAAGAATGAGAGAGGTTGTGAGCAAAGGAGGTTCACGATGCAACTTAGTCACCTCTTCATATAAACGCAGCAATGATGAGAGCAAAGTGATCTGAGAATGTTTTGATTATCATCTTCTCAAGGCTTCAATAAGAGCCCAGATGAAGTAGTAGTTTCTTGTGAAGTTTTCATACTGTTTCAGTGGTGAAAAAATTAATCTTAAATCTCTGGAGGCTTGTTTTAAAGCACCTTGAGCTCTCCAATGACTCTTTCCTTCCTACCGATTATAAAATTGAAACCAGCTAGCAGTAAGTGTAGTAACTTTGAAGCTAACTCGTATGGTCATACTACAATAACAGTATGTGTGGATTGGTCGTAGATGAGAGTCCTCTGCCAAGGATGGATCTCTCCCCTGAGCAATGCAGTAGACAAATCCCCAGCCTAGTTTTAAGAGGAGCTAACTTGACAAAACATGGGAAGGATGAAAAATGGCCCATGCTGCAGTCTACCCTTGTGCCTATTCTGGCACCTTTTTACTGCCATGTAGAGTAAGAAAGTATGATTATAGTCCTCAGATATTATGCAGTATGATACATTTGCCTGGGCCTCCTAAATGAAAGGGCTAGCTTATACTATCTGTAACAGGCTGAAACACTGTCCTGGTTGTATTCCTGGCTTTTAGGTTAAAAAAAAAAGGATTCTGACAATAGCGTCTTCTCATTAAGAGATTAGCAGGAAGATTTTTCTGTAAGCTTTGTTGGACCCCTGTTGACAAGATCAGTACTACGGTATAGTTCAGTTACCACTAACTTGCACAAGTTCAGAGTGTAAAAATTCAAACTCCTGAACTTTTCATGATGGAAGCCATCTGAAATGGTGTGCTACGACTACCCTTTACTCCACCCAGCCACTATCTTCTGTTAAAAAGCAGAAAGGCAAATGCTTGCCTTGTGGAACAGCAGTCTCAGCTGTTCAAAGTGACTAATCTTCTCTGCCGGACTTCTGAAGACGGTAAACCAGACTATGCATTTACCAGACATCTCAATGTCTCCCACAGGTGAAGCTGTAGTTGTTGTGAAGTCCTACGTTATGCCCAATGTTGGCACTGTTAATGTTCTGCAGTGTTTGTCTTTTCTGTAACTTGTTGAATGTAAACTAGAAACTAGTTTACTTGCAATAACCTAGAAATACCCTCTACTACCACTAAGGCACCCTTACTGCAATCCAGCCTGCACTGTGTGTACCCAGCTGTTTTGAAGATTGTGTTTGTGTCTGTTCTCAGGACTGACACCTGTGTATGGAGCAATCTCTGTGAGTATGAACCAACCTCTGTCGAGACAGGAGCAGACAGACATGACTAACTTCCCAACCAGCAATTCCATTTAAGAAAATACAAATTTATCTTGGCTTCCTCTGAATGCACTTCATTTTGTAACTACTTACTTTTGTGGTGTGTCCTTCCTCAGTGTACTAGTTTACAATGCCTGTACCTTAAGATGCCTAAATATACGAGTGGAAGGTTGGTTCTTTTGTGTATGAAGAGTGTTAGTTGTCCTCGAGTGAAAGGCAGAACTCAAGTCAAATGGTGCCTATTAAGTCTCAATGCGTAAACAATTCACTGATAGACTTGCCACAGTAACTTGAATTCTTCTAAAAAAAACACTAGCTTCCATTACTGCGTTCTTGGTTACTCTGTTTTTTTCACCTTTTAAGTCAGACTTCACTGGTCTGGGCTACTGCAGTCAATACAGCAGGGAAAACAAATGCTTCTAAGCAGGAGAGAAAAGGAGGCATGAGCATTTCTTCCAGCTGACAAATATTGGGAAACTTGGGCTATTAAGTTTTATTTTTTGCAAATAATGGCATGTTTTAGCATCAAAATGTTTACACATATTCTGAGTAAAAGGGGCATTTTCTTAGGACTTACTCTGTAAACAATTATATAGCTGAGATGAAGTTAATCAGGAATTTAATAGTGATTGTTAAAGAGTGTGTATACTCTAACGGTATAAAATGTACAGTGAAACACGGTATTCAAGTTGAATGAACGGCTTTAACTTGAAACTGCTAAAATCCGAAACAAACAAACCAAAATCCTTAAGGTAATTAATATATTGCCAGAGAATTATTTTAAAACAAGTTGTTTTGGCTGTATTTCTGTACAGTACCCAAACCTGACTGGGCTTCTTGCTAGCCAGCTAGCTGTTGTCCTCTCCATAAAGAAGACCACCTTTGTACAAAGCACACTTGCTACACCTCTGACAGTAGGGGGTCTGAAAACCTGCGTAAGAGCAATGTTCAAAAGCATAAAGGAATACAATCATATTCTCAATGGCTTAAAGTGCTACAGGAATATAATTAGGGTGGTAGATGTCTAGTAGACGAGGAGCGTATATGTCTACTATACAGAATTTTAAAATTAAAGGACTTTCAGCTGAACAAAAGAAGAGATTCATTTGGAACTGTGGTTTATGTAGTGTTGTCTATCACTAGAATTTTTAGTTGCATGAGGCAGGGAAAGCTTCTTTGCTATAATCATCTCGGGGTTAAATTAACACTTGTCCTTGATGGTTTTTTAAAAACGAAGCCTGATCCATTTTAGATAAGCATTTTAAAATAAAAATAATCTTCTCTACTGTGTAGTCACCTTATTCTGTACAGTTCATCCACTTCTAATGTTAATGAAAATGGGAAAGATGATCATTCCTGTTTTCTTAGTTCTATAAATGATGTGGAACTTGGTTTCTCTTTTACTTGCTGCCTCCTTTGGAGAAATACTGAAGGCTGTCCTTGAGCTACTGTCATGTGGTTCAAGATTTTTAAGACAGGAAAGATTTTTGTGACTCTTCACAAGGCAGTAGCAAAAGTCAGATAAATTCTCAGTGCCCTGCACTAGAACCAGTTTGCCATCTTTACAACTGCATTTTCCAGGATTTTCATTCCTTTGGCAACGATACAGAAGCATGCAAGTGTATTAATCATGACGATAAGGAAACATGTAAAATGGTATGCAGCCTCCTTGGCAGAGAACTCAGGAAAAACATGCCTTCAGGGCAGTACTCCTGCTTACTTCAAGAAGGTGCAACATTGCTGGCAGACAAGTGGGTGTTCCGCTTCAGAGTTTCTTCATTGTTTTCCAGCTCTAGCTCAGCAGTGCTGCTGCTTAGGTGATGGGGTTGAAGTGGTATTACTCCACAGTACAAACCATATGTTAGGAGAAACACAAAAAATTTCTTGCACGGTCAAGAGGGAGTTACAAGCTCATGGCTATGGAGGAAGCCATTTTGCACCAAAATGAAGCACTGTCCTGTTTAACACAGTCAAACCTGGAGGATTTGCTTTTATGGCCCAGGTTAAGACTTAGCAGTATGGTTTAGCGAAGAGCAAGTCAGCTTTTTTAACTTTTTTTTCCCCTCTTGTAGCAGAAGGTTGCTCAGCACAACAGCTTACCTCTTATTTCACATCTGGAAGCACAGGAGGAAGAACTGTTCCAGGAAGGAAAGGGTAGGTTTAGGGCTCCTCCTGTTTGGGATTTCTACCTATATCAACCATTACAGAACGCAGTAGGATCCAGCAGCAGCATTGCAGTCCAAGCAAGAGAATGAAGGTCATGCAAGAGCTGACCGAGCAATGGAACAAATTACCAATCTCTCCTTTGCAACGCAAAGTAATCACAGGATTGAAATGAAGTTGCAGAGTAGTTAAAACACATTCCTCATGTCTTGTGTTCCTGCGTTAGCTACGCAGATTCTCCAGTACCAGGAAGAATAAAGACAAAGCAACAAACTGCAACTAGAAATAACTTACTCCATTTCTCACTGTCTTCAAGGACTTCTACATTTGAGACAAAATACCTCCTAGACAACTGACTTACTTCAGTAAAACAAAATTCAGTGCGGTGGGAGCTAAATGACGAGTTTTCATCTGCTCTTAATTTCTATAAAGATTGTTTTAGCTTAGAGGACTTGGCAAGAAGAGAACCCAGTCTTTCTACTTGCAAAGTGAGCAAATTTGATGCAATTTAGGCAAAAATATGGAAACCCACAATCTCTCCAAGCGGCTTTGTTCAAAGCAGAATTTCAGACACAGCTGAGCTATTGTCAGACACGAGGCTCGACTGCATTATTTTTATTCAGTCCCAAATGTTATTATAATACCTAGACCACCATTTTCTGTCAGAGCTCATTCATAAAAATGATTGATGATTAAATCTGTAATAAAATCAATTAAGGTACAGCATTCTTCCAACAATACAGTTGATTAAAATCAGCTTCACCTGTAAAACTTTATACAAACCACTTTAAAACAGCAGTTGTCATTAAGATCACGTAAAGAAGATGGACTATAGATATTCCACATAACAGTACTTTTATCCTAGAGATCCCTCTCAGTCTGGGTACAGCACTAGATATTCCATCCTACAGCTGGTACCTGATACACAGATTATGCTTCAGGTATCCTAACAATAATCTCTTGTCTTTCAAACAAGCTTCACAACTGGAAAATATTTATGAGGGGAGAAGTCAAATTCTGGAGGAACCTAGAAAGAAAAGATTTAAAACATTACACAGCAGTACTACTGAATTTAATACTCAAAATGAGGGATACCCTGCAGATAGAAGAAGAACTTTTAAACAGCAGAAGATTGAAAAACCATAATCCTAGCTCTTTAAATCAGTATCTGAAAAATATTCCAACCCAGTTCTGGATATGCCAATCATTCTCCAGTAGTGATGGGCACAAAGCTGTAGAGTGCTGCTGTGTCTCTTCAGCGTGCTCCTTCGTTCTTCTGTGCCTAGCCTCTGGCAGGAAGCCTGAAGGCGCTCTCCTCCCTCTGACCCACGTGGCACCCGCTAATCCTGACAGCCAGCACTCTCCCGATTGCGTTCACACAAGCTGCTGGTACACTGCTACCAATTACTTCTTCCGGCTCTTGAAGAATACCCGTATTTTTACATGCCATCCCACATGCACTTCCCAATTTTTTTTCCAAAACATTTAGAAGCCAGAGTTTTCCATATTTAAATAACTAAAACAAACTATTTCTGAGGGGAAAAATGGATTAAGTTACTTTCCCAGTTCTTTTAAGAGTTACAGTAACTATGGCCTGAATCTGCTCATTCAGCTGTAAGAGACCTGTGATAGCACTGCGTATCATACTACATTTCACATTCAATTCAGCTGGCATTTTCTTACCTTAGAGTCTTTTTTGTGGCCTCCTGCCAGCAGCTTCATGACCACAATATTGGGTTTAGCAACTTTTAGAATTCGATTGACCTAAACACAAAACAGCACTAAGTTTTCAAGTGAAAGCATATGACCTCAAAATTACTCCAATGTTCACATACTCTAACAATACAGCAGTCCTCTTACAGCATCAGTTTAACAGAGATCAGGGCGTTTTGGATTTGCTTTGAAGTATAACAGCTGGATTAATGAAATTTAATGAAGGGGGTATTTATTTTAAGAGTCACTTTTTTTATTCAACAGACCACAGAAACTACTGCTCTCCACGTTTACGTTCAAAAATTGTTGAACTACGGCAAGTTCTGAGGCACTCATCCAAATAAAGGCTTAGACAGACTCTAGGCGTCTACCCCCAACACTGTGATCCAAACACGATGAGAAGTGGAAACTCAAGTATCACACTAGTGGCTTTTTGCATGGAAGTGCTCTAGGCACACTCAAACTACCTCTAACTACCCTGTTAGCCTCAATCAGATAGCTCATGTGTGAGTACCACCAGGATCCAGGGAACAGGCAGGGATTCCTAAATTCTCAGGAGAACCTAATCCGTAACTGTTTCTAACCTGCTCAGAAGCGACAGAATTAAGCATCCTCCTTGCTCCAAAATACAGTCACAGAGACTTAGTTTTTAGGCTATGGACAAAGAGGGAGAAATTCCTACCCGTGTTTACAGCCCAGTGCTGAGAAAACTGCTCCAGGAAACAAGTGCCAGACTCGATCCTCTTTTCAGCCTGATGACATTCAAACCTATTTTTCCCCACCTCTCAGGAGTACGTGTGAATTACCAGGTTCCAGGTAAGTGAGTCCCCACCTCTCAGGAGTATGTGTGAATTACCAGGTTCCAGGTAAGTGAGGCAGGCACGTTGTCACCTTCTTGTTAAAACTGATACGCTTTTAGAATGGGGCCAGAAGGCAACACGCAAGAAGGAACTAAGTTGCGATGTAGCATCTAAGATACTCGGCAGAGAGAGGTTTTGGAACAGTGAGCACAACCCTCATTGTATTACCTAATGTATTGAAACAAACCACTGTGTAAGATGCCACCACCCTCCTCTGTCCACTCCTTAATTAAAGCACTCAGCTTTGCTCAGCGTTTTGAGATCCAAAGTACACTTTGGATCTCAAGCAGATCCAGCTGAAAACAAACACTTGCTCTATTATGAGCAAATACTCCTTTTTCCAGTATTTCACTCTTACCTCATAGTCTGGATTAGGAATATTCTCAAGAATCATTTTAGCTTGCTGGAAGTGTTTGCTAGCTGCCATGTAGAGATCTGATGACTGAGGAGGTGGGCTGTATTTATTTAAATCAGACATTTCCAAATGTATAGAAATATATAAATATATATTAAAATCAGTTGCCAACAAATTGCCATTTTACCACCTTAAATGAGAACAAATTACTATATTCAAGAAAAAAAAAGTTATGTCAACTAAATATTTTAAGAATAAATACTGAAGTTGAAAACGTTTATTTAAAATAGCAAATACCGAGCAGTAATACACTGCTTAATGATTATTTTATAGTGCCACAAAATGCAATGAATTTTGCGTACTCTTTATAAAGCAATCCCTCTCCTGAACAACTTGTCATTCATTTGCCCTAACAGTGCCATGCAGCAGGGTGTGAAATTACAGGCAAAAATGGGGGGGGGGGGGGAGAGAGTGGGTTTTATATGATATTGTTTACTCAAATCAAGTTTACAGCAAGTGAGATACTGAAACTGTTCAAAACTTCATTTTATATAATTTTTTATATAGTTTTGATACTTCCAACTTTTTTTTTTTCTGAATTAGGGATAAAAAAAACCTTCAATGACAGAGGAAGCCATGAGTCTTAATTTCCACTACAACTGTTCATAACACTAAATTAGGGAGAGCAACTGGCATACAAAACAGTACAGTTTCAGTTCAGACAGACCTTTAGAAACTTAAAAGTCTGGCCACCAGGAATCTAAGTTCAACAAGAAATGTCCAAATTTCTGCACCTGAGGCAGAATAATCCCACAAATCAATAGAGGCTAATAACCAGCTGGATGAGTAGCAAGGCTACTGTGAACACCAAGTTGAATGCAAGCCAACAAGGTGCTCTTACTACAAATCAGACAAGCCTCATATGGGACTATACAAGCAGGAGTACGGCCAGCAGATCAAGGAAGGTTATCATCCTATACTCAGTATTTGTGCTGTAAGATCTCAAATATTGCATCCAGTGTTAGACCCACTCAGCTCAAGAAAGGCGTTGAGATGGGGAGATGGCTGGGGGCCTAGAGCACATGACCCACAAGGAGAGGTCAACGGACCTGGACTTTTTCAGTTAGACAAGGAGGATGCTAATGGGTAATCTTAATAGCAGCCCACAACTACTTGAAAGGCAGTTACAAAGTTGCCAGAAGACAAAATGCTCCTTGTTAATGGCAGACAATATAACTGGCGGGGAGAGGCCACAAATTGTGGCTTGGGTAATTCAGACCAGACATTAGGAAAAAAGGTGAATAGTGTAGCTCTCAATCAGGTCATCCAAAGACTAAATGGACCAGAAAAAGTAACTGGATCAGGTTAAGCAAAGAGGTTGGAAAATCTCCATCCTTTCATTTTTTTCAGACTTGGCTAGACAAGGACACAGCTGATGTGATCTCTAACGCTGCTTCAGGGAGGAGACAGGACAAGACAAGACTCCACTGGCCCCTTCCAACTAACACTTCTGTGGTTTAACACTCAAAATTACTTTTGTTTTGTTTTCCTGTTTGCTTGCTGCAGTAATAAAAACATGCTGCTATATAAACCACAGCCAAAAAGTCTGTCAATAGACTTCCAAGAGATTTTATTTTCATGCAAACCAACAGAAGCATCTCATAAACCACCACATCAGACCAATTTTTAAACGTCAAAGTCTAATTTTAGTAAGAATTCAAAGCAATACGTTGTCCTTGTACACAACTAAAGCTAGAACTCCTTGACATTTTGACTTATGCTTCAGTGGGAACTTTGAGATATTAAAGGCTCTTTTTACAATGACAACAATGTCTAAAGCAGGTGAGCAAATGACTTTTATAAAAGCATGAGTGGCACCACATTTTAAGATTACTCACTTTAAACTGCAAGTAGTGCACTGGGGGTGGTGTGATAACACTGTTGAATGGAGCAAACCTGTGCTCATATCGAACTTGTTCACTATCCAGTTCAAACTTCGGTTTTCTTACTTTGCCATCCATGTCAAATGCGATCATTGTCTAAAAGGGAAAGGATAAATATAGTGAAAAGTGTTAGCTTTATGTCATATTTTGCTGGGAGCAAGATGAAAGTTATGATTTAGCTATAACTGGAAGGACAGAAAAATAGTACAGAATTTACCATACCACATTATAAACCTAAACTTAATTTCCAGTCCCACTAAAAACAAAGAAGGCATGCAATATATGCTTGATTCCTATTGCAAAAAAAATTAAGCCACTGTTCAGCAAGCACAAATGAATTACCTTGTACATCCCAGCACACATATTTTGGTATGCTTGACTCATGGTGATCTCTCTGCTGAGAGGGCGAACTGCAAATTTCATATAAAATTTTTTTTTAATTCAATGTAAGTACACATATTAATTTCAGATCAAAACAGTTCTTTCAAATTTTCAGAAAGTGACATAATTCTCAATTATATTTTAAAATAATGAAAGAAAACGGAAGTATAAAAAGCATGGACATGCATTTCTGCTCACCTGGCTCCTGATTACACAAAATATCTCAAGACATACTTAACAGTCACATGAACACCATACTGCCTTCAATGAAATACACTGGTCCACACAGTCAATGATATTAGCATGTCACTATACAACAGTAAACAACAGTCTAGAATTTAAAGCTTGTAGTTGAGAGGCCTGTTTGCTTAGTTCATGGATTTTTTTAAACTTTAAAGACTCAAAGGTTAAAGCATTTTTATCCTAATAAGAAAAATATTTATCCTGATAATATTCCTTTAAGCTCCCCTTTAGCTTCCAGTGTTTAAGTAGTGCCAAATTGCCCCACACTTGGCACTTCTTTAAAAAGTATAAAACACAGCAGTAATTTTCTGAATTTCTAGAGACAAGAGAATTTAGTTGATATGACCTTGAGCTGTTCATATCTAATTGTTTGTTTCCCTTGAAAACACGACAAGGATAAACACACAAAAAAGAAGGAATAGCAAAGAATGAAAGTGAGCTTCTGCATGGTGTTTATTCGCAATGTTAATGCTAAGATAACCCCAACATACCACAATCTTAGCAGCCACTTAGGCATGGCAAATATGTATCAAATGCTCTTTAGACACTGCTTTTGGATGCCTTTTTGGTAGCAGGCTTACAGCTCTGACCACAGAGCGAGACCGCTATGATACAGGAAGGGAAATTCTCATTTTCCCTCATGCACATACACCAGAGAAAGCGTATGTTTCTAAACGGGCTTTTGCACAACAGTACTACCACTGAATTGAAACGGGGCAACTCACCATTGTAAAATTAAGCAACATGCTTGAACACCTTCTGAAGCCAAAGAGAAATTACAGAAATGCACTGAAAGTTTAGCCTTTGAATCTATCTACAGTCACAAAAAACATAATTCTGCAGGAATTATAGACTGTAGAAAGGTAGTATTTTTCAACGGTAATTGCTCTGGACCTGTTAATTATATCTCACAGGATCCAACACATAACAAAATTGGTGAAACAGTCAATATATACGAGTTTGGTCTTTTCTGAAAGTAAATAAGTAAATGGGAAATTCTTACACAGCAACTGACTTTTTTAGTTAAAAAATTTTACATTCAGCCTTCATAAACTTCAGGACATTTTTCCTACGCACATCTGTGTTGACTTTATACATTTTGAATTTTAATTCTACATGGCTGCATGAAGGGGGAAAAAAACCCCTCTGAGTTACACTCTACACCTAGATACCTTTTTTCTTTTTCTTTGTTTTCTTACTACTACGGCCTTTCTGTTGTTCCTCCATTATTCTCTCCTCTGCCATTTGAGAGCTGTCAGCGCGGCTCAGTGTTGACATCAACCAGGCATAGAGGAACTCTGATAGATACCTACAGTAAAAACGGTATGTAGCTGTTACATACTACAACGCAAAACGTATTCATAATGCACATCCTCACTGAATGCCAAGTCGTTTACTCAAAGAACTAACAGTAAATAACAACTTCTAGGGCAGTTAAAACTCCTTGTTTTGCATGACTGAAATCAACCGATTAGTCAGTATTCCGGTTTGGATTTTTTTTAAACAAGACTCTGTACAGATTCAACCACAGACAGCTCAAGGTATGCAAGTTTCCTATATGTTTATTAAGTGACGTCTAAGCTTCTTACTATTTCAAACCCCATAGAAGATCAAATTTTTCTATAATTCTTCCTTCCCCCAGCAAATGAAGCATTTTTAAAAAAGACACTATGTTAATATCTTTTCTACTTTTGTTAGGAATTACTGTTTTGAGAAACAAGGTTACTACTGATTTGTTTCAAGCGTTAAAAAGCCATGAATTATTAAATAAAAGGGCCAAGCCCACAGGAACAAGAGATCCATGTGCAATTCTTTAAGATTTAAGAGAAATCTTTAAGAATTCTTTAAGACCGATTTCTTAGTAAGTGGAAGCGGGTCCAATACATCTCTAGACAGACTTCAAATCAAAAAGAATAGGGAAAAAAGAGAGTAGAAATTACAGAGCTGGAGCACATGAAGAAGAAATAATACTTCATAAGAAGTCATAAATCAGAAGAAAAATTACTGAGAGATAATTATGAGTTTCATTTGCACATTTCCCCTCAGAAATTTCCTCTCTTTTTTGTTCTTCACTTTCAGTAAGGAGCTAAAGCAGTTGACATGACAGTTCCAATTAAGAGTGGTGTTACTAAAATGGTGGGGGGGAATACGGGCAGGTAAAAAATACTGCCTTACAGAAAACCTGGTATTACTTATTGAGGTATTACTTAAAGAATATTGCCATCTTCTGGTAACTATCTGGAATATTAATTTTCTCACTTAATGCTTAATCCACTAATGAAACAGCATAGAAACATAATGAGATGCACTGAAGCTCAAGTCATTTGAACCTGTCTAATCTCTCAGAAAGAAGGCTTACAGCTTACCTAATAAGAGTTTATTGGCAGCTGCACAGGAAAAAAAAACCCAAACCAAAACCAAAACAAACCACCAAAGTACAGAAGCACTTTAACATAGGAAGGTTCAACATCAAATTTTTAATGCTGAATAAAAAATGAACCATCTAAAATAATTTATCTTTTGGACCAAGCCATCAACTATGAAAAATAATTTAATGTGAACAGAAGCACAAAAATAAAAAGTATTTTGACTCCATATATTCAGTGCAATCATTTTCACTAAAGGCAGATGTCTCTTCAAATATGCTCACAGCATAAAATGTTATTTTTACCTAGTCAACTTTCAGATTACAGTCACAACTTAAAACTCTGGAGATCTTTTTAAAAATACTAGAGCTCAACAAGACTATTGATCTTGGTACTACAAAGACAGAAAAGAATAAAGGAAATTGCTTTCCTCCTGCATACTCTTGCATGCCAAAATCAGCATATTTTTCATTCATTGTCATTAGAAGACACAGTTTTAAAAAGCTAAATAGAGAGCAAATTACTATTTAAAAAAAAAAGTACACTATCTAGTAAGTCTAGAAAAGAGACCAACAGATTTTTTTCCTCCACTTGTAGTTTTATGAATAGGTGAACTAAATACTGTGTTGAGCAAGCTTGAGATTAAAAAAAACATAGCTGAAGTCCCTCCTTCAAATATTTGCAATTACTGCTCTGTGGGAGCATCCCTCCTCCAACAGTTGTCAATAAAGCACCCTCTTACCAATATATGTAGTAATATTCATGCATACTGTAAAGTTCCAACTCAAAGCCACTCAGAAGATACTGTATCATAATACGAAGGTTATGATATAGGACCCAGGTGCCCAAGCAAGCCAAATGTTGCCTTTGTGGTTCCTGCTTCAGTAACATACTATGAAGGGCTGCATCTACTTTCTCTGCCTATTGAAAAAGAGAGCAAAGTAACAGACAGGGGAGGAAGAACATTTGACTGAAACAGCATCCAAGTTCTGCCAGAAATAAAATCTTAACAAAATCTGAATACAAACTGGGTCAATAAAGCCGTGCTCCAGATTAAAAGACAGAAGTATGTTTTTACAGATACTGCCACCTCTATAGTCTAGAACTGTAAGAAAACTGGAAAGTTATTAACGTAAGTAAATTCTGCTGCACACAGAAAAAATATTCTGTACAGTAATACAGCAATAACCTTAGGGTTTTTTTAATTTTAGAATTTTAAGAAGTGTTTATATATAGATTGTTAGCAGTCACATGAGCACCGAAACTCAGAACCCATTACAGGCTGTTATTCATTTTGCTATATTGGCAGTAATTACTTTAAAAACAAACAAACAAACAAACAAACAAACAACTAGCTGCATTGAAAAACTAAATTTATAAGCTTAAAATGCAAGAAACACACTGTGGCCCACCAGAGAAACTAAAATATTGCTAAGAACAATTCAGTCCCAAAAAGTAATTGTATGGAAGAAATGAAGTCTCCCACAGTTGGGATATTATCCCTAGTCCTGAACAAACCAATCCATATAACCTGTTACAAAGTGAAAAAGTGTTTCAGCTGCAGTACTGCAACAAACTCTCACCCAAACCATCTTGACAGAAGCTGGAGCACACAAAATGTCCCCCCCAGCTCCAAGTTCCTTGATTGTTCTCCTTAGCATGCACATCTTGGAAAATCTTTTATTATTTCATGCCTCTCACTGCTGAAGAAATAGATTTTCAGCAAGTGAAAATATACCTTTCCCTGTCATGTTTCTTTCCCCATTCTTGAGAAATGTTCAAAACCAGTTGGAGCACATATTTTTAAAAGTTATTATTTAATTTATATATATATTTTTAAAATAGTTGTAAATTTGCCATTTACATCTTACATAGCTATAAGACTGAATTTTCAAAAGTGTCTTGCAAACATGGCTCATCCATCTCTCCCTGGTTACATCTTGCAGACTGACAGTTAAAAGCAGGATAGAGACTACAAGCAGTGGAATTACCATTAAATTACAGACCTCACAGCAGGTTTACCTGAAGTCTACTTAATGGACAAAGTTAATCTTAAAAAATGCAGTAACTTGTTGTTCAACAGATCTAACAGAAAGTCTTTGGATGCATCCTACAGACTTCCTGGGCTGCATTTTAGGAATCCTTGTCCTAAAGATTTTAGGACAAACAGGGGAGTTGCTTCATTCATCTAGAACCTAATACCACATGCTCCACTCTGGTAGGAATATACCTGGAAAGAAAAGTTTGCTGGCCTGATGCCTAGGACATTACCTCATCCTGGAGGGTGGCAAATTCCTCAAGAATGTGACCCAGTTTATCTCTCTGGCGAGCTCTATTGTGTCCATGGATTTGAATCAGGCTACAGAATGGCTGAAAGAAACAAACTGTAGGTTTAAATTTTCAACACAACTTTGAAACTACAGGAGGAGTACTATGGTGTCTATTTAGGCACCTGTTTTATACATCTATATTAGGAGGTGGGTTTCCTAAGGCTCCCTATAGAGTGCAAGCTAGCAGGCAAGCAAGCTCTGGCGTGATGCACAAGCCCATTTCTCCATACACAAATCAACATGAGACTGAGTGAGCATCCCTTTAGGAATCTGATCAGAACAGAATGCTTGGAGTATGACAGGTATTTCTTATGCCTAAATCCATGGGCCCAGGTGGCCAAGGCGGCCAATAGCATCCTGGCTTGTATCAGAAATCATGTGGCCAGCAGGAGCAGGGAAGTGATCGTGCCCCTGTACTCGGCCCTGGTGAGGCCGCACCTCGAATACTGTGTTCAGTTTTGGGCCCCTCACTACAAGAAGGACGTTGAGGTGCTGGAGCATGTCCCAAGAAGAGCAATGAGGCTGGTGAAGGGTCTAGAAAACAAGTCCTATGAGGAGGGGCTGAGGGAATTGGGGTTGTTTAGCCTGGAGAAAAGGAGGCTGAGGGGAGACCTTATCGCTCTCTCCAACTACCTGAAAGGAGGTTGTAGCGAGGTGGGTGTCGGTCTCTTCTCCCAAGTAACAATCATTGAGGTTGGAAAAGACCTCTAAGATCATCGAGTCCAACCGTCAACCCAACACCACCATGCCCACTAAACCATGTCCCTAAGCGCCTCATCTACACGTCTTTTAAATACCTCGAGGGATGGGGACTCCACCACTTCCCTGGGCAGCCTGTTCCAATGTTTCACCACTCTTTCAGTAAAGAAATTTTTCCTTACATCCAATCTAAACCTCCCCTGCCGCAACTTGAGGCCATTTCCTCTCGTCCTATCACTTGTTACTTCGGAGAAAAGACCAACACCCACCTCGCTACAACCTCCTTTCAGGTAGTTGTAGAGAGCGATTGTGCCGCATTCAATAACTGAATCTTTTAAAACAATTTTTAAAATTTTTAAACTGGAGAGAATGTAAAAATAATTTTGTTTTCACTAGTGCTATGCATTTGTTTTGTGACCTGAAACTACCCTGTAAAGTCCTAGTAGGTGCAGATTTCTAATAAAGTGAAATGTTAGTGAAAAATCTGGAAGAATAATACAGGAAATAAACAGCAATAATTATACTGGCTTTTTAAAAGTGTTACCATTTTAAGATGGCCAACTTCTGCAATTTTGCCTTCATGTCAGGTGTCTAAAAAAACTCGTCTCATTTTCAAACGTAAGCAAATCTTGAAAGTGCTCATATACACATAAACATGCTGTAATTGAAATGAACACTTACCCGAACGCAATGTGTCACAAAGGAATCAATGTAGTCCTTCGCCTGGTGATTATTATAAAGACAACACCTAAAAGGGAAATATCCACAGACATAAATATGTTTATAAACGTCATCAGTCTATGTAGCACAAAATTAAAAAAGAAACATGAGTGCAGCAACAACAACTGACTCCTTCATACATAAGCACTAGTAAGTACAAAATGTGTATGTTCTTGATATGTCTGTCCTTGCTTTTTTAAGCAGAAATATTTTTTCATCAGACATGTAAACACATGCAAGTAAACTCAAGATCCACTTACTTTGGAGAAAGTACTGGAGGACTGACAAAAGACCTTAAAGCATCTTTTACCATGTCTTGCATGAGGTGAGTGCCAAATACCTTCTTATTATCTACCAGAAAAGTTGTCTGAAAGTGAAAATGTGTTTTTAGAAACATGTTTTAAGTTAAAATTAATGCTCGAGAAATTACTAATAGAAAGCTCTTATAGTACCTGTACTGTATCAGAAACTTGTAAGATTGCTTTAAGAATTAAAATGGTTCAGCTAGGTACAAGGTTACAGACTCAGAAAATAGAGGCATATTGAGATCTGTCACTTCTGTCGTATTCCCATGACACAAAATACAGCGCTATTACTTGCATAAGACAATGCATGCAAAATGATTTTATTTCTTGGACTTTAAAGATGATTAATCAGACAGATGTTTCTGAAGATTAACATAAAAGAGGTTATGCAGTTTCTCTGGAGGCAGATAAAGATAAATCTTCAGACTAATGCAGACTTTCTTCTACCCCTATAGATACTACTGCTTTCATTGGTCATGTCTGATGCTCATTGCACTTTCCTCCACAAGTGCTGTGTCCCTTTCTTACATGGTTCTTCAGCAGCTGGAGAAAAAGCTCTGCTGTCAGGCCCCCACAGGGGTTGCACAAACACATGTAGTGGAAAGTCAGAACACACACACTACGAAAACATTTTACTTGCCAACAGTTATATTCCATTGGCTCTATACGTGGTTTAATTGGGATCAAATGGAAAAAAGTTCTGACATCCAGGGACACCCTACTCAAATCAAAACCTCCTATAAGGTATTATATTTTACTCTGAGTTAAGGAATATATAATATACTTTCAAGGTAAGTGAAGCAGTGAGAAGAAAAGTAGTAGCCTGTTCTGCCCTAGCCATCAGTTTTACTGTTGTAGCAATAGAGGCAGTCTATACATGAAATTCAGTCCAAACAGGGAGGATGAATACAAACACCAGCCCCAAACTGAGACAGCATATGGAGAACAGCATAAAAATGTGTGTACAGGTCCAGCTTTATGGCAGAGAAAAAATTTTAACACTGTTTTAATTGTCATGCACTAACATGATCTAAACAGCAGTATTTAAAAATGTTTTAAAAAATTAGATCAGAACATAAGCCTCCATATACCTAAGTATCTCCAGAAATTTTTTTACCACTTGTATATTATTAAGTGATATGCAAATAATTTAAATATTTGAAACAAGAAGATGAATCCATATTTATAATGAATGCGGAAGTATTTTATTCAAAGACATAGATTAGGACTTGCCTGTAACAGGGATCTTGAAAGAACACATGGTGATTGCTCACTAAACTCACAGAAAAAATCCTAATTTACATTTAGGAAAGAAAAAGACAATTCAGGTTAATACACCAATTTTTATATATATACACACATGTATTTACATTTTTATACATGCATTTGCATTTTTGTATATATATATGCATATATATACAATTGTGTAAATACTTCTATATTTTGTATACACAGACATACACATAGCATATCTCATACAAATTGTAAGAAAGTAAGCATGAATAATTTGAACAGAACATATTATGAAGTTAAAATCTATTTTTTCTGCAATTACTTGTTATTCAACAGAACAAAAGGTTTCTGAATTTTCTTCTTCAGAGGCAACAATTAGAAGGATGATAGTATAGAAATAAGATACTGTGAAACTGTTAAGATCACAACGTAACAGAACCAAGTATGTAACAAAACTGCAATGTTTAACTGGTACCAGATGTTTCATGCAAACACTGTTTTAATTAATTTAACAGGAAATCGGAAGATGAAAGATTTTGGCTTGATCTTCAAACTGATGTAACTGTGGCTCTTTTCTCAGTCAGTGAATGCGTGTATGGTAAAACGTATTTCAAGCATTTAAGTGTCTTCTAATACATGTAGGCAGTAACTGAGAATAACATCACTTACGCAGGAAAGAACATAAGCAGGTGCTTAACTTTATGCCTATTCAGGGAATTACATGCTTAAACAAACATGTATTAAGTGCTCTCTTGTGTTATAGGCACATATGCAGAATACTGCTCACTGAAACTGAAAAAATCAGGAATATAGCAAGGAATTACGTTCTGCTACTGCAGATGCAGCTCTTCAACCAAAGAGCTACAAGGAAATTAACTTGCTTGTGCTCCGCCACTAACATGCATAATTATTTAACAGATTATGGGAAAAATGGGAGGTTTGAGAGGAGAAAAGGTCTTTGTCAAAAAAAAAGAAGAGTATTAAGTATCAGGAAAGACAGCAAATTTTGAAATTGTACACAACAGTGGGAAACACCAGAAGATTTATACATACAGCTCAGTTTTTTCTCCAGTGAGCAACAGCATGTATATATGGAATGATTTTTTCCAAGTTACATTTTAAGAAAGATCTTAATGTTTGGCTATAAATAAGATAAATATTCATGCTTACCAGTATACAGTGCAAATTAGTTAAGTTGACTACTTCACATACAGTTTTTATTCGGTCTATTAGTTTGGAAAAATAATTGACCATTTCTTCCCTTTTAATTATTTTTGCGTATCGAGGAAAAGTTGGTGGCAGCAATCTCTGGTTAACAAGGGGCTCAAAGCCCATCATAATAGGATGATCTAATGAAGGAGGGGGGAAGAGAGAGAGAGAGAGAGAGAGGAGAGAGAGAGAAAAGCTGCATATAAGCTGTGTTTTCAGAATTCACTTCAAAGTTGAAAGGACACTAACTACCCAACTGACACAATGTTTACTATTTTAAAAAACCCAACCCTCAACACCCTCAGCATATATCTGTGCAGTGAGGTGGTCTTCCCTATTTTGAAATGGCATATACACTGATTCGAAGTGTAATGAGCTTAATCAAAAGTTCACATTATCTCTGGCTTTGAAGTGACAGTATTGCTTTCAGGAGCACCATCATTTAGTGAAATACAGTTAAGATCAAACAAAGCAAATCTGTAACAGTTTGTATAACGAGTATTATTAGTTCAAAGTAAATAGTGTTTTTTTTTTAAATACACATAGCTATTAAAATTTATCAAGACAGCATATTTAAGAAAGGAAAAAAATGGTAAAATTTGATACATACCTCCTTTAGTGGTATCATTCTGTGCCTGGATACCATGATGCAATGAATTGTGGATGGCAGAAAGCAAGTCAGCTGCCTGAGTCATTAGCTTCTGAGCTTCTGCAACTGCACTCGTCTGAAAGGCAGGCAACAGTTATTCACATTATGAACCAACATATTTTGACTATAGAATTAATGCTAGTATCGATATTAGGATTCTAATGTTTATTCATAACCATTCTGGAAAAAAAAAACCCACAACAGATTTTTGTGCAATAAAGAGTTCTTTATATTTTACATATCTATACATACATTTAACACTGTATTTTTTGCAGTATAAGATAAGCCTTAACAATAACTACAACTGAAAGTCTAGTATACGCTACACACAAGTCTTCTACTTTTGATTTTGAAGAACTGGGGGGGGGGCAAAACCCCCCACAAAACTCTTCTGCCAAATGACACAGAACTCCAAACTGCAAAAATCTACTATCATTAGAAAATGAAGAATTTTTGAGAATATACACAAAACAACCTATCAACTGAAATGAAATCACTATATAACATTAGAAGATACCAGATGTGCATCAGAAATCTTGATTCATGATCTGCTGACATGCTGAATTTTCTGATGTCTTATGAATCCAAATCTGTTAGCAGACTGGGTACCATTTAAAATAGCTCTCTGTAAAATCTAAAATCTTGTTTTAAAAATACTGGAGAGCAGTCCCTGATGGAACTTCAAATATTTGAAATCTCAAGTCGAATTGAAACTTGACTTCTTTTAGAAAAAGAGATGTTTAAACGCCCCTGAAGATCTAATAGAAGCTGAACAAGATCTGTAGCTCTGCATAATACATGTTCATGTATTATAGCATCCACAAATCTACTAAAAGAATAAGCTGCTAAGCAGATCTAATTCAAATCAAAGTAGTCCATGATGTAAATAACTTATACTTTAAGTAATCAGACTTTAGCAACACTAAGATAATCTGATTTTGCACAGATCATTAACCCAGAGCAGTTAACACAGACAGAATTTGGTTGTACATCAGTGTAGATCACTTTTATGTCACAGTTTGATTTCTGATATAACGAATGGTCATACTCAGAATGCAATTGTTCTCAACCACTCAATCACTTTTTCCTCAACACTGATGTCTATCAATGATACTTGCACCTGACTTTCAATTTCATCAAGGTCTTTTAAACTGTACAGTATGCAGCTGCTCCAACGGCAAAATATATGGGAAAGACTCCATGCCACTTAAGCAAGAAACTTGTTTATTTCTTTATGAAAATGGAAACAACAATACGCAATAGACAGATATTTATCCTTTTAGAAAGAAAAAGCTCTTAAAAAAAAAAAAAGCTTTGTCTTATGTGACATGTGATTCTACCCCTTTGTCCTAAAACATGCAGTTCCTTCCCCCTTCAACAATTAGGAAATCTCATATTCAAAAAAAGCAGGCAAATTGTGTGGAAAGTTGTTATATTCCTCTTCTCAGACCAAGGTAGTCTAGATACAAATTCAATACCACATGGAAGGAAAAGCTAACAATTCTCTTGAGATGGACAAAACACTGCCCCATGTCAGGTAACTACTCAGAAGGGGACTGAACTCAACAAAGAAAAGTTTTGCTCGTGTGTGTGAAAAGAGTAATCCAAAACCCATAAGTACTTTTCTTTAAGTGTTCTAAAATGAATATTCCTTCTCTCTGCAAGGCCATAATAATGTCAGCTACTAGCCTTCCCTCTGTTTTCTTTAAAAATGAATGAAAACTGAATGGTTGCCACTGTAAGGCCTTATCCAACCCTTTACCTGCAGCAACATCAATTCAAATCTACAGAATAATTGCTTGACCTTAGAGAACAACAACAAAAAAAAACAAACAAAAAAACCCCAAACAAACAAACAAACAAAAAAGAGTATTTAACAGGATCATAACGTGAACACAGAAACACCAAATGAACGTACCTCTTTTTTGGTAAATGCTATTAGAACAGTCAGTAATACCCGGGTAAACTTGACTCTGCTGAACACAGCTAAACACTGTTGATGCTGTAATAAGACAATACTGCATATTACTAAGCAATATGCATTAAATCCTGAAACTTATTAAAAAAAAATTACAGATTTATTGAAGTATGCTCTCTAGTCTTAAAAATATGGTATCTAGTATGATTCTGAAGAAAAGTTATAGAATTTATAGAAGAAATCTGTACTGCTGTCAGAAAAGCACTAACAAAAAATACTAAGATACTTTGGGTAAAGCACAACCTCTGGCTGTATAGCTATCTCCTATGCAAATGCCATTCAAATCTCAGCTTAAGTGAACAACTACAAATTATTAAACCAATTTTCTCTCCTTTTTGCTGAAGATCTATGTTAAAAGCAATTTCTGAAGAAACAACATTACTGGGAAAGGAAATCCACACCCTTCTAAATCAACCACATGAACTACATCAATTATCACTTTTTCTGGAAGGACCTACACTGCTTTCACCTTCTCTTCCTACTTTCTCCCTTGACAGTAATGCTGCCAGCAGCAGTAAAAGCTGCTGGGAAGGAACTAAGGGAAAAAGGTGCAGGATAGTAGACCACCTACTTTGCTAATGGCTTTTTCTTGAGAGGTAGGTGCATAAATGGCAGCATTGCAGCAGCATCACTATTCTGACGTTGGGATCGATCCAGAACTCTCGTGCATACGCTTAGAGCATAAAAGCCTACCTGCTAGCTTGGGATTTGCTCAGGGCCCTGTTTAGAGCAGCTCAGATATGACAGTAGTAGCAACACTGGTGACACATTTCTCAAACTGGTAACTACTGATTAAAGTAATGCTGCACTAATCCATGAAATCCAGAAAAAAGTAAACAATTCATTACTTCAAGTTCAACTTCTGGATCTCTCTCTTCTCCTTGTCGACTTCGAGTGCTCTAGAAGGTAAAGGAATTTAAAATAATTTATTAAAAATTGCAAAGGGAAACTACTGATAAAATCCCTTTATCCTTTCCAGAACATCCATCTGTTAAATAACCCTAAAAATCAGTTCTCAAGTTCAAAACCTCTTAATATATAATCTAGGTACTTGAATGATCCAAGACTCTCCTGTAGTAATGAGACCTATCTCAGTCCACTCTGCAAATAGGCAAGGAAATTGAACATTCTATATTTTAAACTATGGTAAAGGAAGACCAAGTGACTTCTTTAGAATCACATAGTGTATCTGTGTAAGAGCCAGAAGTTAAATATATACTTTCTGTGCCCCAACCCAGTGTTATCTTCTACATCATGATTCCACCTATTACTAGTGAAGCAACTATTAAAGAATATAGAAAAGCCTGAAGACTTCATTGTCTTTAGCTAGAAGGCAAACTATCAGCATCTTACACAAAACCATTATGGCAGTTCTTAAAAAAACCCCCACCATTTAATGATACAAACCCACCATATTCTTCATAATCCAACTCCCTCCCCCAAACCTATGTTAAGTACACTTGAAGTATAACTGACAAGGCAAATGTGAGAAAAATACCTTCACTCGTCTTTGCATGTCATCTTCTACATCTTTTAGCATACCTGGAAAAGTCACAGTACAATTAAAAGCCGAGAAGCATTCCTAGGTACACTACACCACTCAGAGGAAAAAAGTTTTGAGGGCAAAACAAGTTTTAAAGTGCTTTACATACCCATTAGCCAAAGACTAGACAAAAAACAATCTTGTGAGGAATGGTGGGGATGTCTTGCAACAATAGACAAATCAGAGTACAGGCTGACTGATCCAAAGATAAAGTGTTTACAAATTTTCTCAGAATAAATCAATGGAAAGCTCAAGTATGTATCAAAAACAGTGCATCAAAAGGCTAACGTACACACTTACGTATGTACCTAATAACATACATATTCATAGCTTTAGAACTACTAGATTGCTTCTTCCTTAAAAGCAATCTGTTTAGATCACAACAAATTGTGAGGCAGAGAAGCAGAATTCAAGCAGTGCACTTTCCAGTGGTTTGTACCTATCTCAGACCGGGATGAGCTCATGCCTAGCCACTCAGTTGGCACATCTAAAACCACTTGTTTCTCAGACATTTAACAAATAAGCAGCTGAACCTTCTCTTCAAGGAAAAAAAATTTGATCTCGCTTTTTACCAAGCCACCAATTTTCACAAGACTAATAAAAAAAACCTTAACATGTGAGATTCCTGCCAATTCATTAGGTTTGGTGGAAAGTAACCAACATGCTCAAAAGAGAGACTGATGGACAGATACACAGAAAGCACGAACTGTACCTGTAACTCTAAGATCTGTCACACTGTTGGCCATTTTAAACCCGTAAGTCATTGACTGAAAATCTTCCTAAAAAATAAAAATCAAAGCAGCAATATGTAGTGAAAAATAAACAGTAGTAGTCACATTTTCAAGCTGGGGTTTGGGGTTTTCTTTCTGTTTGTTTTGGGGTTTTTTTGGGTTGTTTTTTGTTGTGTTTTGTTGTTTTGGGGTGTTTTTGTTTAACTACACCAAGTATAAAGGTCTGGTTTTATTCTTCACAACTGAATAGACCTGTGGTTTGGGTGACTTTCCTGCCCAAATCCAGCTTGCGGTAATTATTTTCTGCATAAATCCTTAATACCAGCATGCCCTTCACAATTTTAATCAAATGCCACCCTATCAAAATGTTACCAGATCTATGGATGCAAAGTACTATTTAATCAATTTTAGATATAGTCAGTAAGAAGTGACTTGTCCAAGCTCAGAGGAAACAAAAATTGCTCTGAGCACAGAAAACCAGACTCTGATGCCATTGTTAAATGGACATTTCAGACAAAAGACAATCATGGTTATCTAAAGTAGAAAAATAAAAAATTAAACAGGAAGAAACCACAAGTAAAACTCATTTAGAATGGTTAGCCACAAGATTTGCATTGCTATTTGAGTAGAATATTTATGTATATAAATACTCAAGCAAAACACAGAAAAGAGCATGCAACACCTTCACTGAAGAAAACTGCATTTTGAAGAGACCAAGTCTAATACTTTTAGGAGGATGAACTGCAGCTCCTACAGTATCCTTGAATCAAACAGTAGTAAATTTCTCTAATATACTGTTTTATTTGCGTTACGGAGCCTACATATAATGTTACTTATTTAACCATAGGAGATACTGAAACACATACCTCCTCAAAAACAGCTGCTTTGTTAACCTTTTCTCTGGCAATATCACAGATTTTTAGGATCCCTAGAGCAAAAGCCTTCATAGCAGGATCTTCTATGAAGTCTGGATTATGAATATAAAGGCAAGTGAATACCGTCTGTGCCAAGGAATGTCCCTCTAACCACGTTATCTAGGAAAAAGAAAATTAAATGTTTTACTCATGACAGCCAAGGCCTCATTTTTATATCTCCATTCTTTTTCCATCTTACTGCACTTCAGTGAGTCATTAAGGAAGTCCCTATCATGGCAACCTTCCATCTAGCAGGGCAAGAGAAGGTCCTTTGTCCATCTGCTGGCTGTGGCAGGCAGTCAGTTACTAACTAAACCCTAAACACTATCAAATTCTGGTGTTGGATAAACCTCTTCCACAAAGTTCAGCTCTGTTCTTTGTGCCTTAGACATGACATTAAGTTAAGAGAACATAAGATTTATAAGCTTCCTCTATATAAATACAGAATGAAAAATGCAAGTGGCTATGAAACAACTCAGCAATATTCTGCATGTTCTCTGCCACAACTTATAGCTTCTTTTCATGATCCCCTCTCTCTACTACTTTCATGCTGCTTTAAGCTACAGGGAAAGCTTCAGTAACTTAAAACATTATTTCTATCTTGAAATAGCATCAAATACAGTAGGATCAGATTTCTAATATAACCACTGTCCCTTTTCAAAAAAAAGTCAGTATTTGCAGGAGGAGGCGGGGGGAAAGATGACGAATTATGTTACACCATATCAAGTATACAGTGACCTTTACATGTCTTTTTGGACTAAACTAATTTGAAATGTTGTTTTAAAAACCAAAGTAATTTTATTGATGTCATTTTAGAGAGTATCTGAAAATAATTTGTATCATTTACTGAGGAAATTAAGATATACACATAGGAAAAAAAAAATCACAATTAACAAATAACTGATAATTCACTTATCTTCTTTCTAAATGGATTTAGGTATTTTCTTTTCTTTCTTCAAAATGCCCCTGTAAGCTCAGTCAATATTGGCTGTACAGAAACGAGCAACAGAGTGCTCACTTTCCAACACAGTCAAACACTAATATACAGCAGGCAGTCAGATACCATATATAAACACAAATTATAAAACCTTTTTACATTATTCAAAATGGTGACAGTTCTCTTCCATAATGATTTCTCATAATAAAAAATCCAAAAATCAAAATGATGCCTTGGAAATTAAAATACTAAGTATGTATTTTCTGCTTGGTTTATCTTTTTTCTTGAGTTCTACTGTTTTTTTTCTTTTTCTAAACTGGATTAAAGGATTATATTTTGAAATCAAAACCATCTAACATTAAGAGCAGAGAAATGCTTACCAAACAACAAAAACATGTATCCATTATTCCTACCAGCTCAGGTGAAGTGAGATCCTTTATTTTAATGGTGCCATCCTTAGAAAACAAAGAAAGAAAAAAACCTAAAGACTATGGAAGCCTGTAGGCAAAATACAGCTTACTATTTGTACAGCTGAAAAGGAAATTACAGTTTGGTTAAGACTTCAGAATATTTATATACCACTAGAGCTTTATTGATCAGCTTCATACTGTGCCTCAAAATCTGAAAAACTTTACTTTCCTATCATTGTGTTAAACAATGACCAAACATAAAGCTATTCAAAGAAAAAGCTAAAATAAAATTTCTGATTTATGAGTAGCCAATGAAAGTTTAAAACCAGTTAACTGTCAACACTTAAATCACAAAACAGTATGTATAATCATAATAATGATTGAACAAGGAATAATATGCAGGACCCGTTCTTTCAAGACTGCTTTTTACACTGCAGATACTTGTACAGTTTTACTGCCTTCAAGGTCAGGACCAAGAAGGCAGCAACCCTAATTCTTTCATTTTATTTGTCCAATGTATGCAGTTCTGCATACATTCTACGTGACTTAGACAGCCAGTATTTTACACAGAGTTCTCTTAGTCCATTCCAAACAAGGTCCATGGTAAAAAGTACTTTTTCCTCTGCGAGTGCATTATTTTTTCCAAAATAACAGAAAGTCTTTCAACCTCCCTCCACCAATTTATCTTCACCATGCATCAGAAGTTAATCATTGCTGTCAGTGTTGTTAAATAAGCCAGCTTCTGTTCAATGCTAATGAACTGATAGTCTCATAAAGTGTTATTTCCAGCTTTTTTAAGGAAGCTGGTTTCCATTCGGCTTGAAGAGGGACTAACCAATACATCTTCATATAAAAGACGCATTTTGGGGAAGCACAGGGTGACCTGCAAAAACATTTCTGAAATTTATTTATTTGAGGTATACCCAACAATTTCACAGTACTTTTCACTGGAAGAGTTAGCATCATTGTGATAATGTAGGTAAGAAAAAAGGTAAACATCACAAGCTCTTTCTTATTTAACTATCCAAAATAAAAAAGAAAAAAACAATTTTAAGTAAAGATTGAAAACATGAATTATTTTGAATTGTGCTTAACTGCAATTTGATAAAACTATATCATACTTTTACAGACAGTGTAGGCAAAAACAGGAAAGTCCAACGAACCTTAATAGCTTGCTCAAAGTTAAGAACCTTTCTATTAACTTGGTTTCCAATCATACCAGCATCCATCTTGGGGTCCATCATTTCAATGGCAGACATGGCTTCAAAAAGACCAAAACTAAGAACACCAATTAAAAAAACATTCTGAATGTAATTATTTTATTTTATACAAAACAGTCTTCACAAACCAATGTAAAAGAACATACGATGACAAACTGAGTACACTGTATTCTGACTACAGACAATTAGGTAAGGTATGTGAACATTACTATTGAACTTTACAGAGCATGGTTTTCAGGAATTTGAGGATCTCTCAACAACTAGGAAAGAAAATAGATACCTAAAAGTAGAAGAAAACTCTTAGCCTTTTTTTAAAGCTGAAGAACACTCCTGAGCCAAATATCCCATTACTAAATCTATGCACACTTGTTTCTATACACCTCATAATGACAGTGTCTTTTTAAAGATCACATAATAAACTGATATTAACTGAACAAGCTGGGTTTTATTATGCTACATCCAAAAACCCAAGTAAGATACGTCCCCACAAATTAATGACAATATACATGACACAGACTGACAATAATATATATTGAATATACCAACTTTGTTTAAAATGGGCATGTTAAAAAAACCGATACAAAAAAACCCCAGCATGCGACAGTGGATCTCCTGCAGTCAGGGCATAAAAGCTCGTAGGAGAACCACCCCAAATGAAGACTGGCCTACAGAAGAAGGGACATAGTGCATCAGCTTTGGTACATATGATATTCATCAGAACTGCTGCACAAGCCTTTATTACATAAAAAAGGTTATTGTGTGTGGCATGTTCTAATTCTGAAAAGCGTATTTGCTCTGAAATGCTCTTACGTATAAAATTACACCTCAAAAGTGTGCTTTGATTCTACTGAGTAACTACTTGGTGACATCCTGGCACACGTTTTTAGCAGGTTTGCATTTAATAGTGCACTTCTGTTTTCTGAGCTATTAGTCTTATATAAGCACTTTTTTCTTTATGCAAGTGAACAGACTCATGTGGCGACTTTTATCTTTAAAATATTTAAATCTCATGTCATTCCTTAATGAATTCAGCAAGATTTTAGCACATGCTTTTTTTTGAAATATATTTTTTCTTCATCTACAGAGTTCTCAGTTTCTGTTTTAGCATGTCATTTAAGAGTTATATTAAAGTAGATGGATTGTTTATCCTAAACTTGTTAGTGACATTTGAGGCAACCAAATTTAAAAGCTTAAAGTCTTCCTGGCATTTTTTTATAAAACCATGTCCATATAAAATAGTGCAGTAGGTTCAGTAGTGTCAACACCACTGATCATAAGATGTGCTGTAAATTTCTAAACTACAGTGATTAATTGAAAATGTAATGTTCTACTGGCACCATGAAAAATGTTCAGCATTCATACAGCTGCATCATATACATACTGCTGAGGATGAATGATATTCTGAATACTTAAACTATTTTATTTAAAGTAAAAGTTTAAAAAAGCTTAGTTGATACTGCATGACTTGCTTGTTAGTAAGCATTAACATATTTGCACTAATCCTGTCTAAAAACCAGAACTATCCCAAAAAGCATACTTACAGCTTGTCATGAAGCAGTTCTCCTAACTTCAGTTCTACAAAGGAACAGAACAGGATAAATAATTACAATCATACTTCTAGCACAACTTTTCCAGGATAGTCTTGTCATTCACCAAACTGTCATGCTAAGAGAGAACAAGGTATGGGAAGCAGACCAGACATTTCTACGCCACCTTCAATTGCTTTTACATACAAAGTACTTTCAAGACTGAAAGGCTAAAAACCCCAGTTGTTCACAGTCTTTCCTCATCTCTCTCTGTTATTCCAACAGTTAAAGGAGTTTTAGAATTACCAAATAGTAGCATCTGAATAGCCTGGAACACAGGACAGCAGTTTTCTGTGCTCCTTTATGCAGATGTCTAATTTGTTCCAGAGGAGTTTACTGAAAGGCTTGCTTTTCCTCATTATTTTTAATGAAGCCTTTAGATGTATTTGACAGGTACACAAACAGTGTATCACTAATATATGGGAATTATTTGACAGCACAAGGAAATTGTGTTTATTATTATGTAATATTGTGTGTGGTAAGTTGCAGTTTTGTATTTATTTTTCCCTAATGTCATAATAAAATCACTTGAAAAAATAAAGTCCCTGTCACAGTAAACTAGCACTAATATCTAATAACAATAAAGGCACTGTTTATAGTATGGAAGCAACTGCTTCCCCATGACTGGGATGCACTGCATCTCCTCAGAAGCTCAGCCTGGTTTCAAAGATGAAAAATGATGCACTGACCAATTAAATGAATTGGATCCCGTAGATCCAAAAATGTATAGGAAAAAACAGAGTGTTGATTCTGCATGGATGAATGAGGTTTCTGTTTGGCAGAAGAGATAGGAAGAAATTTTCACAAAGAAAAAAAAACATGCAAAAATATGTAAGATGAAAAAACATGACTTAAAGATATTTACGTAATCTGGAAGAGGAAGCAAGGCAAGGTTCTTCTGATATTTCCAACCTCACAGTAAGTTAAACACAGGGAAACACAGAATCAATGTAGTCCATTCATCTGGAGCCTGAACCTGGGTCAAATTATTGCTTAAAACACCTCAAAGAACTATGCTTAATCCTCCAAAGGATTCCAAGTTTTCTCAGAACACAAGCAGTACAACTCACCTCTACAAGCTTCTTCAAAATCCTGGGTTATATCTATCCAGCTTGTATTACTCTTTTCCATCTTGTCAGGCATACCGAGTTCCCATCCTGAATCATCATCTTCTACCGAAGCTTTCATAACCATGATACCGCACCTTTAAATCCGTATCAGAGACACTACACATTATGCACAAATTAGAGAAAGTGCTTCATGGGAGTAATTTTTTTTTTTTCTTTTCAAGAATCAGGTGAGACAGGGAGACTAACTAACCTGATTTCATTTAAACAGTTACCATTACATAAAACCAGCCCAAAAAACTTCATAAAAATTCTTTTACAAAAATGTTTTCTTATTCACCTTTTCTCTACAACTAGCTTGTAGTCTACGAAACCTCAAAAACTAAGGACACCAAAACTTTAGCAGTACAGAGCCATAATAAAGTATGTACTATCAAATTGGAGATAAAATGGGAAACAATATCAAGCAATCCTCTCTTATAACAGATGTAGATATCACTTTTTTTTGTTGTTTCACACTATTAGAAATACATGTCCTCCCACTGCTCTGTGAAAGGAATTAAAAAGAGGGGAACTGTAAAACTGACCACACACAAGTTTGTTATTCGTACAAAGTGTACCCAAACAAATTTGTGAAAATGGGCATATTTCCTCCAACTTCTTCAGCAGAAAGTAATATCAAGATTACCGCCACAATGTTAAGCAACTTCAGACTGGAATACAATTTTTAAACTTCACTGACTAGTTATTTCGAACTGCTTTTATGCTTTTGCAATCTCATGATACGCAGGGCAGCCCTGAAGAATTTTATGTTTTGCCAGACAGTCTGCCTTTGAAATATCTGCAATGCTAAATCTTCCCTTATCCAGTCGGAGATCTTGCAAGAGACACCTACGAGCCCGGCGAGCTCTAAACAGCTTAATCAAAGCCGCCACGGTACCTTTAAACAAAGGCCCCCCGTGATCGTGACATGAGACCTCCCAGCCATCAGCAATTAACAAAAACAAAGGCGGGTGTGTGCGTGTGTGTGTGTATCAAACCGATTTTGAAAACTAGTGCAGGAGTCCCTTCGCCCAGGCAATGCCCAGCTTCCCTTCGCCCCCCGCCACTGAGTCACTAGCTCTCAAGCGACCGCAAGGACTGCCAGGCTCAGCGGGCTGGGATGAGGAAATACGTGGGAAACTAATTAAAATAAATGGAAATCACGCTTGAATTTCAGACATTAACGACTGCACAGCCAGACCCTCGCGGGCTCTCCCCTCTCCGAGGTCACCCGTCCCCAAACCCGGCGCTGTCCCGGCCCCGGCCGCCCCGCAGCTCACCG